GATTTTTTTTAACCCAAAGCAGGTTCATATTGACATGTGGAAACACTCACTAGGTAGAAAAGAAATGCATCTTTTTGACAATCAAGTTTCTTCTTTTGGTATTTCATGTAGATAGCACCCCATTTTATATCTTAAAGGTACTGCATACACATTCATGCATAACCATCTTCATGCTGGGAAAGGTACAACAGTATTAGTATTATTCCCATTTCATAGACAAGGAAATTGAGGCAGAGAAATCAAAAGACCTGCCAGAGACTACAACACAAGAGCTGAGCTTAAAACAGAGATGTTCTGTGTCTTGGTAACTATCCAAATACCAGTCACCTAAGTACATGTGCTTTTCCAACAAGTTAGACCTGATTGTGCATACATGAATGCATCTCTTTGACCCTGTCACTGCCATTAGGAAGGCTTTTAGGGGTTTGATGTGTGGTATTATTTCTTTGTTGCAGCGTTTTTGGTTATAGTTGTGTTGGTCTAAGGACATAGGTAGGCAAGGTTCTTTGGGTAGATGTGATATCTTTTATTAGACCAACTGAGTAGTTGGAAAAAAATGTTCTTTGCAAGCTTTCGGGCACAAGCACCCTTCTTTAGGCATACGGCGTCTCTGTTGTTCTGAGATCTCTGAGAAGTGAAAAAAGTATTATTTCTATGACTTTTAAATGCATCTGATGGAATAAGTGCATTGTTATAGGAAAGTTATGTGAATAGGCATGCTTTACTGTGGAATGCAGTAAGGTTTGTGGCAATTCTTATTTTTTAAGTCTATATTCTTGGTGTTGCTCCTATGAAGTTTCTGTCTTCTATCCAGTGCTAGATTGGCAGCCCAAAGTGCCATGCAATGAAGGCAAGAGTGCTTGCAGTTCAGGAAGCAGCCCACTCAGGGGAGTGTGGTATATATTTAAGGCAAAGAAGTCTGGAACATAGTTTGCTATGTGAATATGCTATTAGTCTCTCTTCAGTATCTGTAAAATGTGATTAACAATACTTCCCAACCTCACAGTTGCTGTGTGAATGAATAAAGTTCAGAGTGTGAAACACTCAGATGTGATAGCAATGAGATCTATTGTCTACTCTGCAATCACAGACATGATTGCAGACTACCACAGAAAGGCTGCTACTAGCACGCAAGTTAGCAAGTTTAAAGTGTGTATGGGATAGCAACCATCAGCAAGACAGGGAAACTCATTGAACACAGAAAGTTCCCAGTCACATTGAAAACAAACAAACAAACAAAAAACAGGGAAAAATATTGATCCTCACCAATTTCTTTCAGTTATGAATGTCTTAAGTGTAGCTTGGAGCTATTGCTAACGAAAGAATTTTCGAAATTGTTGTGATTTTCAAGGTCACTATGTCCTAAAGTGCTGATCTTAGTATCTACTCAGGGGCCAGCCCAGCACAAAATAGCTTGAGCATTTTGAGATACGCAGACATTTCCAGACCCTGGATCAGGTGCAGCTCAGCAAATCAGAAGAAAGCGACTCCTCTCAACTTTAAATGGAGTCTGTCAAGTAGCATAGGCCCCAAAGAAAAAAAAATCAATATACTCCACAGCCTTGAGCTGAAAAGCTGCCTACTAAGTGAACAGCTCATGCAATTTAACTCCCAGCTTCCGGTGATGCGATGCTCCTAAGCTTGGGGGCTCTTTGATCCACCTCTTCATAGCTGTGCAGCAAGCAGAATTTAATCACGTTCTGAGAAGGGATGCTTGCTTCCAATACCAGTCTCCTGAACAGATCTGTCAATCAAGGCTGAACCTTAATACCTTCAGGTTGCAGTCCCTTTAAACTTCCGCCTCAGTTGAGCGGTGTCCAGTCAGCTGTGGAGGAACTATCACCCACACAGACGATGGGGACTTCCTGAGCTTGTTCAGTGGAGTACCTCGATATTAATTCTCTTGTCTCTGTGAAGGAGCTGCACAAAATGTCTAATCAAGTTGGCTTTCCATAGCCGTGAAAGCGAGGGCATTCCCTCTCAGAAATAAGTACTTACTTTCTGCAAGTGGAGGCCCTGAAAATCCTGCCGACCTTTTGTGGGTCAGCAGACAAGCAAATTTTCATGGGATTAAACCTTTACTTATTGTTGTCAGAAAGGAGACAGTGAGGACAAGGGCTACTTCCATAGCTAATTTCCAAGTTATTTTAGCAGGGGATGTCAGGTAAAATATTCAGTGACTGGCAGGATGATAGAATACGGTTTAATTTCAGATTTACTATCTGCCAACACATGCCATTCAAACAGATAAACACAAGATTTCAGCTGTCATCACAGCAGTTTGTGCATACTTAAAAATAGGACACTTTTTCACACATTGAGAAGAAATTGAGCAGGTTTATATATAGAATATATACCATGGGGACAGTTGGAAAAGTTCCACAAGTTTGAAAGATTCTGCCATTTCCAAAGAAATTCCCTATCTTTTAAGGTAAGGAATTACATTACAAGCAGTAGAAACTTTAATGCTTGTAGAAAGTTTTTAAGTCCTTTGTGTAGAAGGAAAAACATTTATAGAGAGTGTAGTATAAGGCTGAATTTGAATAAATATAATGAAGGTATGTGGAATGCATAATGCACTAGAACCTGCAGAGACATGAATAACTGAAATGCATTTTCTGGTTTAAAAATGCCTGTAGATTGAGATCCTCCTTGGTTGTCTGTCAAGGTTGTAATGGGCCCTTCGTTATAGTATCTGAATATCTGGTCCACTAAACTGGAAAGTGAAGGTAAAAGACGATGGGCTATCCTAAATCACCTTTGACAATGCATTCAGGACTTGTAGTAGAGATGATATCCTTTATTATACCAACAAGATTTTTGCAAAAAAAATTATTTAATTGCAAGCTTTCGGGTACAAACACCCTTCATCAGGCATTGGAGAAAAGATTGTAAAAGTTCTCTTGGGTAGAAATGAAAGTTCATCTTTCATTGACAATGCATTTAATTTAAGGAATCACAATATCAAGCCTCAGATATGCAAACACAAACATTTGCTTTTGTTCGATGTCCCAATAACTTCAGTGGAAATAGTCATGTGGGTGAAGTCATGCACCTGTGTAAATAATTACTGAAGTGGGGCTTTCCATTATAAACACAGCTGTATACATATTTCAGTGCTATCCCCTTGCCCTGACAAGTGAGCCAAAATTTATACCCTTGGTGGATTGTTTCTATTAGGAGGAAGATGGATAATATATGTCAGGTATTTCTTTGGTGTAATCTTGTTAATTTACAAAGAATATATGGAAAGTCCTCTT